TACTTAAAATTGGCAGCACTTATAATGTATGTGCACATCAAACTTTGCACACCCTTAACGTGCATAACTCAACGACCTATCGTAAGGTGCTGTCAGACAAATATATTTAGCAATTAATTAATCTGGCTGGTCACATGTCAGAATTGAAATTTTATGACAGCAAAATCCGTGCAGGAAATAAAATCGGCTACGTTTGAGGACATATTTATGTAATAGCCATATACGTGAAAAGCTTTTCTATATAAAATTATATTTAAAAACTCATCAAGATAACTCAAGTTTAGCGGAAAAATAAAGCGTAAACAAATAATTTAAAATTTTTTTTAGTAGTTTAATTATTGAGCCGTACATTAGTTAAGAAAGCAACAGTGGTTTGGTCTGCTTGAATTATTTATTTGAAAATAAAAAAAATGATTTAATTACCCAAAAATATTGTCTCATTTTGTTTTCTATTTTTAATTGTTTGCAATGGAAAATACGTTTGAAATTGAAGACAAGGGTCAAAGAAAAATTTCAAAAATGTTTTTCAATCGCATTGAAGAAATCTTTGATTTTGAAGACTCTATAAAGATTAGTGGGAAGTTTTATTATTTATTTACAAAAATAGGGAGCAACGATCGATCAAACTCAAAGAAAAGAGGTGTATTTCAGAAGGCGAAAGGTGCTATGGACAAAGAAGTAAACAATGTGATAAAGCTGTAAATTTAATTTAACCCAAATATAATTTTTTTTTAGAAAAAACCATTTTCGTTAGCACCAAATACAGTAAATAAGAATTCGGAATTCCTTGAAATATTACAAAATAAAATGGGAAATAATACAGCGTAACTGCTTAAGCTGCTAACAAACACACACACTTACACATTAAAAGCATAAAAACAGTCAGAAATCATAAAAAAGTTTTCTTTCACAAAAAAAAATCATATGTTTGTTAATTTGAAAATATTTCGAACAGGTTTGCAACCGTGGACATTTTGGACAAGAAAAAGCGAAAAATAATAACAAAAAAATGAACAAAATTCAAAATTGAAATTCAAAAATGGACATTGTAAAATATTGCTATTTCGAAAATGGAAAATTTAGGAAATAAAGTCAAAAGAAACATTTGAAATCTCTAAATTTAAGCTTTTGGTGTTTTAAAAGGAAAATCTAATAAAAGAAAAAATCAAAAATGGATAAAAATTAAATATTTTAGGCTATTAAAATTAAATGCAAAATAAATTTATATTTGGATAAAGTAATATTTAAGGTGAAGAAATTGAATTTAAGCCGGAAAAAAGTTTTAAACAAATCTTGATGTTTTAAATTAAGTAAATGACATACAAAAAGGTAAATTTTAAACCACTTTTTCTGAGCAAAAAAATTATGTATACAATACATACGCCACACTGAAAAAAAAAAATTATGAAATTTAGAAAACACACACACGCGAAAATTCCTTAAACACAACACACACAAAAAAATTAGCTGAACCAAAATTAAAAAAAAAAAATTGAAATTCAATTAAGATATTAATGCGAACCTCTTTCACTTTCGTGTCTTTTACTCAGCAAATAAAAAAAAATTAAATTAAATTGACGTAAATATGTAAAGTTACACCGAAATTAAATTTAAAAAAAAAAAAACACTTTAATCCTACACATAAACACACACACACACACAAATACAACTGTCAGAGGTAGCCGAAAAAAAAATTTAAATAGAATTTTTAATAAAAATTTTTGTGTACGTGCAAATTAGCGAAAAATAAGTGCAAGAACGCAGGATAATATTTCAAATCCACCGGTCCATAATTTAGTATTAATTAAAGCTTTCATTTTGTCACGCTACAAAACCAATAACTTATGAATTTTACTATACAGTTAAATAATATTCCACACAATAAATAAATATTACAAAACAGTGAAATTAAATGCCTGCCACAGAGAGATGAAAAATAAAAAAGTATGTAAAGAAATACAAAACTTTGTATTTGTATGAATTAAAACAATACAAATTGAAATTCAATTATTCCGTTCCAGTTTATTGCAAACAATTACGAAAATCTTTAATTTATTTATTCAATACATAAATAATTTTACAAACAACAAAAAAATAATGCAACCGTATACAAACAAAGTCTTAAATTATAGAATTATGTAGCCAAATTGATGGCGGTGTTTTCGAAAAGTTGTAAAAGATGCACACGGACAAGCAGAGTTTCGAATTCAATTTAATATAAACAAACAAAAAAAAAATTAAGAGAAAACTACTAAAAAATATAACAGTTATTATATGAAACCGTGACAGAACACATAATAAATAAATAAAACAGAAAAACAAAATGTATACATACATGGAGTTTTATATATGTACAAAAAAAACAATGTTTTCATTTTTAAATAACAAGAAAGAAAGCGCGTAAGTAACCAAGACTGAAAAATAGCATAATAACTTTACAAGAAAGCTTTCTACTGTTGAATTTTATTTGGTTTTTCGAATTTGTCTTACTGAGAAATGAATTTTTCAAAATTCATCTCTTGGAATTTATTTTAACTTATTACTAGACGTGAACTTGCCGTCAGACGAAGCAATTAATTAATTCCAAGTTTTCTTGTCAAATAACAGATTTCGAAATTAAATTTAAAAAGCAATCACACGTAGCATGGAAAATTTCATTGAAATTGAATTTCACTTTCTGGAATTTAGTAATTCATCAAAAATTTTGCTTTACAATACTCAAAATATTTGACAGCAATTTCAAGTGATATTAAAATTGCCAATCCAGCACCAGCAATTGGTCATATAGTTTCAAAAACAAATTGGTGTAAACACATACTGCAAATTTTTATTTCTGCAATTATATGAAATTAAATTGCAGAAACTAGTTTCAGGATGGCAACACTTTGAAATTAAAAATTTTCAACAAGTCGCTGAAAAAATATATAAGTTATGAGAAAGTTCCCACGTCTGACAGCACCTTAAGCGGAATAGATTAAATTTGTGTGGTAACACTGACAGACCAGCTGTTTGCTTTTCGCAAGAGTGGTGAAGAAAAGATTGCGCAATTGAGTGTATTGTCTTTACGTACACTCGTGTCAACGTCACAATTCCTAAATCCACTATATATGCCGTTTTCGCTATTGGAACTCGATATTGTGACGGCATTAGAGCATTAGCGGATTGTTGAAGTTTATTACTGTGAATAAAGTGACTCCTACTCTATATCGTTATTGTAATATTTTAAGCTGATTAACATAAAAGTTTTGTCTCCCTTTACGTTATAGGTAGACGCGTTCGAAATGTGCCTTAATCTGAGCAAAAAAACTTATGTAAAATTTAGTTGAGGGTGGGCTAAATGAGGTGATGCTAAATTCAACTTTTTACGCTTTCTCAATTCTCTCAAATAAAATGTATATCTTAAACTTCATGTAAGAGTCAAAAAAGCAATAAATCCAATTACATATCTATATCACAAAGTTATTAACGGGTGATGTTAACCCAATTTTAGGTTTCAGTTGTGACATACCCACGATTTGATTCTCTTTGTGATCAAAGTTTCACATATTAAAAAAGACGATGTAACTTTTGTGAAAATCAACCTCAAGAGTTGGCCCACTCTCAGCTCTTAGCATCTGTTGACAAGTAGCTCATATCAGTTTCTATTTCGTGTGGAAAACGCCATTTTCTTTGAATACAGTGAAAAACAGCTGAAATTATTTGATTTCTAAACCATTTTCATTATTTAGTTTTCTTCGACATAATTAGCTCTTTTATGGGACGACATTTCCTTTACCGTTGATTCTTTTATTGTCTGCGTATTTAATCTGAAAGTCTTTTCTTCCAACGATGTCCACATCATCCAGTTCACTTGTCAACTTGGCCGCAGCCATTATGATTTATACTTGACAGACAAACCCCGAGATTGGCAGGCAATTGCTAGTTGACAGATTGCACAAGATTAATAATGTTACGATTTTACTAAATCAACCTCGATGATTTCCTAAATCCTTCGGGTACGATCTCTGGATTGTTAAATAAAACTCGCCAACTCAATTTGCTTTATCTTACGCTATAAAGATTTGATCTAATGTCCTTTATTTACTCCGTAATTCACAATTCAATTATAAGACACTTTACTAGCTACAATCACTTGCATCAACTTTCACCATTTACTCTACTTAAATGTAATTTCCAACGCGTTCACTTTACGACTTAACTGATGTTAACGCCAACGAGTTCGCTTTATCACTAACTTGACTTGCAGCTGAGTGCCGCCTTTATATAGCAGTCGGCTGCTCGCAGACGAAAGCGTAGAAGCATCGAATTGTTCGCTATGGAAGGTTCTTGTTTTATCGTTTCTAGAACGTACTAGTTATCGGCTTCTCTCTTTCATCTGACATTCGCCTCGCATTTTCGCAACAATAACTTGTAATTGGGTGGATTGATATTTTCATATACAATTCTTTAGCAATTCAACTTAGTTTAATACATTATATTTTTGGGGACTTTTTCTTGAGGGACAATATTTGACAATATTTTTTCGTTACAAACATTTTTTTGAAACACAAATATAAAGTTATTTATCTAATAGATTTATCCAGCGACTTTTTTTAAATAAACGCCCTCGATATAAAATTTCAAATATAAACTTTGAAATTAACAGATATCTTTCTTTTTTATCTGGCAGCACTACTATTTGATTTTGGAGACAATTTTAATTAACAGCAGGGCAGCACTGGTGAACAGATATGATTAACAACTGGCAATTTGTTGCAGAGAACAAAGAAATATTTGTTGTTAATGCTAAAGAAATAATATTCATATTCTTCTTGACAATAATTTGTATTATGGTGTTGGTAGAAATTATTGTAAATTTAAATATATTTGTTCGAATAGGAGAATTTACGCACAAGGCTGTCATTGCAAGAAAAAAGACAGCTGTTTCCCTTGTTCGATATAATGATTGAATTCCATACTATCGATATTGTTATCGAGTAGATTTCGCCCCTGTTTTTAGAATCGTCTCTATTTGTCTAATAACAAATTTTAATTGTTTATATATGCATATATGCAGATAAGATTTAATGTAATTAAAAATTGGATTACAAATCCAAATTTCTATTCACTGTGTTTAAATTGGCAAGCGTAAATAATCCAAATCAGCTGTTTGAGGTTGCCCATCACAAGTCTCCAATAAATGCAAATTACATTTGCACGTTGGAATTTTCATTTAACATAAGAAAAAAGCTTGTTTGCAAAAATTTTGCGTAAATTCCATCAAACTATTTACGAGTCTGCAAATAATTGCAGACGTATCACAATAGCTACTTGTATACGTACTATGGCAGAAGGAGGGAGTGGCAGTGATACTAGTGTCGGAAGCGGTGTTTGCGTTCAAAATGGTGGTATGAATCAACTATATTCAGAATTGAATGTACATATAATTTTTAGTTTAAAAATGTTTTATAGATGAAACTGTCAATGTTGATGAGAAATGGCGTGGTTGCTCGATGGAAGAAATACATCGTGGCTTGAACGAATTTGAATTGGAGCATGTGCCTCCAGTACGTCCTAGTGAAACACATACTGTGCTCTATCATTGCCCTATACGCGAGCCGGATAATGTGCCGCCACGACCATTACGTGCACATCATAAATGGGATGCGACACATGTACGTTTACCCTGTTCAAGTAAAAGTCAATATCCTGTTACAGCGGCAGATGGCAGTTCAACGATAGAGGCACGTTGGGAGATGATTGAAAAAGCGCTGTTAAAACCAATTAGTAATAGCAAGGAATTACAAACTGCTATACTATCGTATAACACAAAATATGAAAATCAATGGAATTTTCGATCACTGCATCGTTTATTTGAAGATGATTTGGATGAAAGTGAATCGCGTGTATTTTTTGAAGATTTGTTGCCGCGTATAATACGCTTAGCGTTACGTTTACCCGAACTAGTGCAAGCGCCAATACCTCTACTTAAGCAAGGCCAATGTCACTCCGTTACGCTATCACAACAACAGATTTCATGTCTTTTGGCCAATGCATTTCTGTGTACCTTTCCCCGACGGAATACAATGAAAAAGCGTTCTGAATATAGTACATTTCCGGATATCAATTTTAATAGGTATATACTAATGTGAAATTATTTTACAGAATAATATTTAACTTATGTTTTATGAAACATACATTTCATATCGCTTACTTCTTGAAGGCTTTTCCAAAGTGGCGGCAAAGCAGTAATTGAAAAAATTAAATGCATCTGTCATTACTTTCGTCGCGTGTGCCCAACGGAGCATGATAATTCGAATGTGCCCACTGGCGTTGTAACATTTACACGACGCAGTTTAAACACCGCAGAGCTGCCTAAATGGGCTGAATGTAAAGCTCCGCTCGGTGCCACACCTTTACACATCACCTCTGAGGGTACAATTGAAGATCAAGGATCCGGTCTGTTGCAAGTTGATTTTGCAAACAAATTCTTGGGTGGTGGCGTACTCGGTGGCGGATGCGTACAAGAGGAAATACGTTTCGTAATATGTCCAGAGCTACTCATATCCAAGTTATTCACAGAATGCTTACGTCCCACAGAGGCACTATTAATGGTGGGTGCGGAGCGTTTTAGCGACTACAATGGCTACTCGAACACTTTTGAATGGGCTGGTAATCATGAGGATAACATGCCACGCGACGGTTCTAGACGCCGTCAAACCCATATTGTAGCTATAGATGCGCTACATTTTATGCAATCGGAACATCAATATCGTGAAGATCTTATCAAACGTGAACTAAATAAAGCTTATGTCGGCTTTCAACATCTTTTGAGTACGCCACCGCCCGGTGTGGCTTCAGGCAATTGGGGTTGTGGCGCATTCGGTGGTGATGCACGTCTCAAGGCGTTGCTGCAATTAATGGTGTGTACTGTTACGCAAAGACCGCTTGTATATTTCACCTTTGGTGATGCTGATTTACGCGATGAAGTGCATCGCATGCATACATTTCTGCTGGAACATAATGTGTGTGTCAAAGATTTGTGGAACCTGCTCATCAGCTATCAGAGTCAAAATATGACAGGCAATGAATTGTATAATTTTATTTATGGCTGCATTAGTAATACGTTAAAGGTATGATTAATATTTATTTGTATGCATAAAACGAAGTTTAAACTCTACTACACACTTTGCTTCCAGCACAGTCCGAAGACGGCATCACCGAAGAATAAAAGTATGCGTAATTTCTTAAAGTCCTGGTTGAAACCGTGTCAAACTGACGCCGAGGATAAATCCACTACCTCCACGGCGTCACGGCAAAATAATTTGAGTCAAGATATTTTCGCCTCCTCTACAGACTCAGAAGTGGAGGCAGTTGGTGTTTTGAACGAAATTTCACCTATAACCGTAGATTCCACGCCCACATCGTCGGCGAGCAATGCAGCAGCAGCAGCAGCAATAGAGGAAAATGCGCCAAACATCGCTACCGTCGATCTCTCAAATCAATCACAAACAAGCGATAGTGTTGATAGTGTGAAAAATAGTGTAGAATTGTTAATTGATGAATTAGAAAGTATTAAGAGCCCAGCGCCGCAAACATCGAAACCCGAAAGAAGCCCCTTAGCGAAGGAAAAGTTAGAAAAATCAAATGTTTCGCCCACAAAAGAGGAAAAGCCAACGGGTTCACGCCAACGTACGCTGCTGGAAATGCTAGATCAATGTTATACTACGAGCAAAGCGCAAAGCACCACAAGCAATGGTCCAGTATCAAAGCGTATATGCCTTGGTAAAATTAGCAGCACAAAAACAGCAACAACAACACCGACAAAGAAACAATAACAACTATGCATACATATGTACTTGAAAAATACGAAATTTCAGAAATTTTAAATATGAAACTAAAAAATAATGCACATTTTATACTGTATTAGATGATAAAAGAAAAACTAGGAAAAATTGCTAAGCAAAAGAAAATAAAACAAAAATAAATTGTTTAAATATACATTCATACATACGCACATGCATACATATACACATATCAGCAGAGTATCAGTTATGAACAAAGAGAAAAATTTGTATTGTTTTAATAAAACATCGCGACGCGTTATATGCTGTGCTTTCTCTTTTGAAAATGACGTTACGTTTTTCGTCGCGAATGGCGCTGACGCGCAATACGACAAAAAAAAAGCAAAGAGCAACACCAGCCTACAGCGTAGCGCGAAATGCCAATGCACTCGTGCAAAAAATCGCTAAAAATAAGAAATGCATACAGAAAATGTAAGATACTCGCTTGCCTGTGAAACATGTGCGCCTGTTATCACCGTTACAAGCTGCACTTGTGTAAACAGCGAGTTGCTTGCGCGTGAGTGAGTGAGTTAGTTGTTTGTACGCGTCACCTGTAATGCACAAAAAAAAACAACAACAATTCTGTGTAAGCTGTAAATTATGATTGCCTCTCCAACCACTTGCGGTTCAAGCTTTTTGTTTATAATTAGAATATTTTCTTATCAAATATTTTAAATCATCTTAATTTAATTGTTTACTATAAAGATTGTTATGGCCAGTCAAGCGTTTGTTTGCGCCAATGGCAAAAACGTGCCGGTTGCATGATCAAACAAACTACATATTTACTGAAACTCAAATTGACTTAGTTAGTTATTTATTTACTTACCTACTATCGCCTTAAGTATGTTTTTGTGCCTAATTGCCGGTGATTATGACACTAATGCGCAAGTAGTAGCTAAAGATAAGACGATGTAATAATGCATTAACCAATAAAGTGAAATACAAACGTACAAATTACGAGCAATATGCGGCAAGTGTGGTTTTAACAACAAAGTAATTTTTAGTTTTTTTTTTTAATTTTTTTTTAATTTTAAATTTTTATTCAATTTATATTTTTTTTTTAATTCTAATTATATTTTTTTATAATTTTAATTATATTTTTTTTAATTTTAATTTTAATTTATTTTTAGTTTTTAATTTTAAATTTTTGGCTTTAATTTTTAGTTTTGGCTTTGTATATGATTTTTTTAGTTGCTAATTATAATTTTTTTTAGTTTTTAAGTTTTAATATTTGTTCTATTTACATTTTTTTATAATGGTAATCTTTTAGTTTTTAATTTTTTCCAATTTATTATTTCTTTTTTTATTTTTAATTTAAATTTTTTTGGTTTTAAATTTTTTTGTTTATAATTTTTAATTTAAAATTTTCTTTAAATTTTAATTAATTTTTTAATCTCTAATTGTTTTTATCTTTTTTTTAATTTAAATTTTGTGTACAGTTTTGAATTTTGTTTAGTTTCTATTTTTTTTTAATTTGCTTATAGTTTCTAAAAATTTTTAGTTTTTTTTTATTTATAATTGCTTATAATATTTAATTTTCTTAGTTATTAGTTTTTCATTTAAAATTTTTCAGTTTTTAATTTTTATTAAAAATTGTCTTGTTGTTTTCAATTAATTTTTCAATTTTTTTATATAAAATTTGTATGTAATTTTAATTTTTTAGATTTAAAATTTGTGTTTTTAACTTTTTAATTTTTTTATTTTAACTTAAATTTTTTTTTAGTTATTTAAAATTTGTTTTTAATTATATATATATTTTTTTTAATTATTTATATATAATATTTATAAATAATTAATATATTTTTTTTTAATTATTAATTATATTTTTTTTAATTATTATTTTTATTTTTTTTTAATTATTATTTATATTTTGTCATTAACCAGCAAAACATTTGTTATTATCCAAAGACAAATGTTAACAATACATTAAGAACAACAACGTATAAGCACATAACGCAAAAGCCCATAAATTACCTAATCTTTCTGGAAATATAAAAATCAATTTACTTTAAGTGCTAATTATAGTGTTTAGTGGTCTATACATAAATACATACCTACATATGTATATTTATAATTTGTCGGCCTACGCAAGCGAAAGCATTTTTTTTCGTTTATGACACGAGCCATTAAACTGACGCGACTGTTGATAAGAATTGTCAAAAACAAAAAAAAAAAACAAAAAAAAGAACGGGGTTTATATAACGGTAAACAAACGAAACCGAAAGTACATTTCATCATAATTATATTTTCAATATTTGTATTATAAAAATTTATTGCTATCACGACTTCATTCAACGGCAGAGCATCAGCCTTCACATGCTGAATGTGACATATTCAATAATAATCAAGGTCATACTGTTGAGGCGATGATTTGTTAGAATCAAAAAATGTGTGCTAATGTTGCAGTCGAATTTTAATCGGTTGCATATACATACATACATATCTAATTAATTATATGTATATATGTGTGTGTGAATACAACAAAAAGTTAAAAGGTGGGTTTTAATTTATAAAACGTCATAAAATGTATTTGTATTTACACGTATGTGTGTGTGTATATATGTGTGTTATCTATGTGTATTATGTTTATATTTGTTTTGTTTGTGTGTAAGTAGAATATGTAAGTGAATTGATTTTATCATCTAATTTATTGTTATTACAGATTTACATAAACACATATGTACATACATTCACCCCACATAATTTTGTTCGATTGTGCTTTGGTTATAATTTAAATTAAATTTAATTTTGAAAATCTTACTCACAACACTGCAACGCAATGAAATCTCGATCCATCTGTTTTTATCATTAGAATCACACAAAGCAAAAGGTGAGTTAATTTTGAAAGTAATTTACATATGTACATACCCTTATGAAATATATAAATATGAATTTATAAATATCCCATTTACACATACAATTGCGTTCAAAATAATAGCAGTCTTTCGTTGGATATTAGCTTGATAAGTGATAAGTTCCACTAACAGGCCTCTTCTCACTGTTAGCGGAAAAGTAAATTTTGTTTTTTTTTTTCCACACCCTAAATTGAATTTGGTATTCTGGCGTACTGGTTACAATGTTTGCAAGAACTTTGGCAGCACTGCTTTTTTCGTCCTTGTCAAATTACATTTGGCAGTTGGTAAAATTCAACAAATTTTATAAAAATTCTGAATAAAACATAATTTAATATCGATTTATATTGCGTTTTGAGTTTCAGTATTGTATTCTGCAAAATTGTTTTTGCAAATATAGAAAAACAAATTTTTCGATTATATTCAGTACGGTGGAACCCGAGGTGCGAGTCCGCTGACTATTCGTTTAAGGGGCACACCTAGTGTAATAATCAAAAAAAAAAGTGATTATTGGGAATCTTTATTATAAAAATACTTTATCAATTATTTCAAAACTTTAAGAACATATTTATATATGTTTCAAGAATATACAGAGAAATTTTTGAAGAAAAAAAACTAAATATTTTTTAAGTTATAGTCGATCTCCAACGGCGTGAAAAAAGGTCCTTCACTGCTGCAGTGTCTCCGGCCTTCTTCGTGGATGAAATCTAAAAAAAATTCTCGATAAGATAATATTGTCTGTAAAAAAAATCATTTACAATAAGGCGGCGTTTTAAAAAAAAAATAGTCGAATTTTACCCAAAATTTTGGGAGTTTTTGGCCTGTCAAAATTAGATTTTTTGATCAGATCAAAAATCGATAGGTCAAATTCGGAAAATGCTGTTTCGAGAAAAACGCGTTTAAAGATAAAAAGATCGTTTTCACTCGTAGCTAATGCGACTCTCTAGCGTCCGACTTCTATAACTCAAAAACTATTTGAGATATCGATTTGAAAATATGTTATTTTTAAAGGTGTAATCTACCAAAATATGAAAAAAGATCGATTTTTTTTTTGAAATTTCATACTAGGTGTGCCTTTAATGATAGGGATAGCCCATTTTTCTCATGGTCGAGTCTTTCACACAACACGCTCGATAGGATTTTATCTGCGATGTCGAGGCAATCGGCGCAGGCTCAATTTTTGTGGATTAGTCAGGGTATACTTAGCTTTCGTTTTCGGGGAATATTGCAGGAGCGACGGTCCTTGGTCGGATAAAAATCCGACTATCGCGGGAACTATTGAATTTTGGTCGTCTCTTATGACTGGCATGCTTTACCTCGGGTAAATTCTTGAACCCCTAACCCGCAGGTTCAAATCATCGGACATGCTTTCATCCAAACTTATTTTCCACTGAAGCTATTGCATGCACCTTGTCTGTGTTTCGCTGCCATATTTTAATAGCTGAACACACAAGCCATTGGCCATCGCAGCTTTGTTGTTTTTCAAGGGGGCAATTGCTATTCGATCTACTTCGGGTAATGAGGCATCTGTTCCTTTGTCAGCGATTGAAGAACTAGGTTCGCTATCTCATGGTGTTCCATTTCACTGCCATTCAGTTGGTTGGAGAAGAGTCTTCTCCGTAATTTTAGTATACTCTGGATATCTGTCACCACACACATCACATCTTTGGGTCCTACAAGAGTTTGCTTCAGTGTTCAAACCTACTGTAAGTCGCTTTATCTTTTCGAGCTTTATCCTTGTCGGACAGTTTGTCAAGTTCCTCGTACCCACGCATTTCGACCACTTTCTCTTTTTGTGTTTTGCCTCCCTCTTTAATTTTCGATAACTATCCCACGCCACACTTGTACTGTTCGATGGCAACGTTGCGAGGTAGGTTGCCAGCTTTCTCTCCACTGCGACAAGGCAATCCTTATCATACCAGCCGTTTTTGAATAGTTTCGTTTGCAGATCTAGAGGCAGGGAGTTTGAAATACCGTCCTACAGTTCCTTTATACCGGAGTACAAGTGAAATAGAAAATCGTTTGGCTGTCTGCTGTGTTTGCAGTATTTCGAAGCCGAACCTGCCTTTTTTTTGTTGGCGGGGGTTCTTTGCTGCTTCAATATAGTGATCTTAGTCGATGTTGTGTCCTCGGAGTTTACGCATGTCAAGAACATTAGAGATAATTCGTCTGTCTTCT